CAGGTTCTGGACATTTTGCCGAAATTTTGAGTAGTTAGGAGAACCGGCAAATGCCACCTCTGGCTGGCCCCAGAGTGGCGAGGGAATGGGGATTTTGCAATAACCCCTGCCACGCCCACCAAGCCACACCCACAGAACCGGTAGTAAAAAAAATTGAATTTCACCACTGGGCAGAACCTCCCCCCCCCCGTCCTGTCATTCTTCCAAGGGTCTCCAAAAAAAGTATTGGGAGGGGAGCGGCAGGTGATATTTCCTCTACGCCCCCCTCCCCCGCCGCCAGCTCTGCTCGGCTGGAGACTGGCCAGTCCCTTCCCCTCCACCCGCCGGCCCAATTCTTCCACGAGGTCCCGTCTGGCTGGGCAAAAGCCGCCCAAGCGCTCCGCTGCCCTCCCGATCTGAAAAAAAAATCCCTATCAGGGTGTCAAGTCTAGGTCACGGCGCCCCCGGCAAACGAGGCCACGGCGAAGCACAGGCTGCCCTTCACGGGTGTCTGGGAACCTTGGAAGGGGGGGGGGGAGACTTCGACTCTGCGGAAGTGTCAGACAGGCCGTCGGGTTAGCGCAGCCTGCTTGGCCTTTCAGCCCGAGGATCGTTGAAAGGCCGGTTAGCCTAAAATGCGGGTGGGCATCCGTGCAGGCATGGGTGTATTGTGTGAACGCTGCTGAGTACAGCAGTTCTCTGTCCCAAAGATGGTTTTTCCCCCCCAGGAGGCAACTGGTTTTTCTTTGAAGACGTTTCGCTTCTCATCCAAGAAGCTTCTTCAGCTCTGGCTGGATGGCGAGGGAATGGAAGGTGTCTACCATCCAGTCGGAGTTGAAGAAGCTTCTTGGATGAGAAGCGAAACGTCTTCAGGGGGAAAAAAAACAAAGAAAGTCCAGTTGCCTTCTGGGGGGAAAAAAAGCATCTCTGGGACAACCATGACCCCAGAGAATCCCCGCAGCCAGCTCTTCTTTGTATTCAGCCCTGCTGGTCGTGAGAACGCAGCTCTCCAGCCCCCACCCCCAAAGTAGCTCAACTTATCTCTCGGAGCGCGTTCAGACGTTGGCTGGCTTCTCTGCCTTAAGAACCTCGCACGTCCTTGCGCAACGTCCGGAGAACCTAGAGGCGGCGGACGGGGCTATCCTAGCTAGTCCGGAAAGCGATCTGCCCGACTTGCTGGTCGTGTGAACTCACCCTACAAGGCATCTCCTGCTCGTGGCCACCACGACAGCCATGGACCTGACCCATGTTATGTAGGTCCTGACAGACAAGAAGGAAGGGAGGGGGAAGGGAGTGGAAAAGAGGGTGGTTGAGGGAGGCAAGAAGAGGAGAGGAGGAGAGAGGGAAAGGAAGGAAGAAAGGAAGAAAAAAAGAAAGGAAGGAAGATAGAAAAAAAGAAGAAAGAGAGGAAGGGGATAGGAAAGAAAGGAGGAAGGGAAGAAGAAATGAAGGGAAGGAGGAAGGAAGGGAAGAATAAAAAGAGATAAGGAAAGGAAGAAGAGATGAAGGAATAGAGGGAGGGAAGGGAGTGGAAAAGCGGATGGTTGAGGGAGACAAGAAGAGGAGAGGAGGAGAGAGGGAAGGGAAGGAAGAGAAAGAAAGAAGAAAGAGAGGAAGGAGATAGGAAAGAAAGGAGGAAGGAAAGAGGGAAAGAGGATGGAAGGGAAGAATAAAAAGAGATGAGGAAAGGAAGAAGAGAGGAAGGAATGAAGGGAGGGGAGGAGTGCCTGGCAAGGAAGGACGCCGCCCTCCCTTTCGTCCAGCCGGGCCGCCCAAGATTGATGGGGCTCTTGGTTTTCCCGTTCGCAAAGGCGAGGGCACTTCGGGGCTGGGCTCATGGCCGCCCCCTAAAACGAATGGCATCGGCTCCCGCCTCAGCCCCCTCGCTGCGCCCCGCTCCATTCCTTCCTTCATCCTTCGCCCCGTGGGTACCACTTGGCGCTGGGGACGGAAAGTTTCCCGAAACGCGCAGACTGTTTCCAGTCTTCCCTTTTATTTGTTCCTTTCATATCCATTCACCAATATCCATTCTTATAAAGAACATTAATCTATTTGCGATTAACATGGACCACAATCTTCTTATGACTATAGAAAACACAGCTGTTTTCTATAGAACACGTAGTCATTTCTTGCCTTCCTCTTGTCTCGCAACAACTCTACTCGTTCCATCTTCTCAACCTCCCTTCTCTGCCTCCTCCTCTCCTTCCTCTTTTCTTCTTCCCTTCCCCAACTCCTCTTCTGAGGTGGCTCAGTGGTTAAATGCAGCACTGCAGTTCAGCAGTTTGGCTGTTCAAATCCCACCAGGCTCAAGGTTGATTCAGCCTTCCATCCTTCCGAGGTGGGTAAAATGAGGACCCAGATTGTTGTTGGGGGCGATATGCTGACTCTGTAAACCGCTTAGAGAGGGCTGAAAGCCCTATGAAGCGGTATATAAGCCTAACTATTGCTATTCTCTTCTCCTCCTTCTTACCCGCGCTCCTACTCTTCCTTACCCTCCCTTACCTCCTCTGCTTTACCCCTTTTTTTCTTCTTTTCCCTCCCAGCTTTCACCTTTTCCATGGCTGTCCCTCCTCTCCCTCCTCTTCCTCCGGAGCCCGCCAGGCAGGGCAGGGCAGGGCGTTTCCCCGAGGCGGGAGGGTTTCTTCCGCAGTTGGGTCAAGCGCCGGACCGTCGGGGGGTCTTCTCCTCTCCTTCCTATCTCCAGAAAGGGACTCGAGAAGAACAGGTGCGCTTTGTCGCTCTCTCTCGGAACCACTGGAGGAGCCGGGCGGGGATCCTTGGCTTTGTAGGACCCCGGCTGGGGGTGGGGGCTTGGATGGGTGACCCTCCCCTCGCCTTAGCCTTGGGAGGAACGGGCCCCCGCGCACCCCGCTAAGGTTCAGCCAATCGCGGCGCGAGGGAGGGGCTCTCCCGCTGGGCCATTGGTCGAGGGCGCGTCAGCTCTGGCACCGGGAGGGACCCTTTTCGGGGTTTCCACCTGTCTGCGCCGCCGAGTCCCGACGGGGAGGACAAGGGGCGCTTCCCCCCCTAAGGCTGCTGCTGCGCTGCAAGATCGCGGGTCTGGGGGCGGCTCCGGAGCGAATCCTAGACGATGGAAAGGTCCGGGGGAGGCTTAGAGACCATCTAGTCCACCCTTTCCTCTGCCGGGACAGGAATCCACCAGCGCAGCCTCGCGGATGGAAGGCTATCAAACCGACCCGTCCCTCCTTTTGGATACGGAGAAGAAGGGCCCTTTCAAAGCTTGGACTCACTCTTGCAGCCAACAGAGGGGCGTCCCGAAGCGAGGGGAAGGGGCTCCACATTTTGAAGCCGGGGTTGCGCCTGCGACAGATTATGCCTGGCTGGATCTGCCCCAGCAGTTCTATTAAGAGACCCACACTCTGTCCGCCAGAAAGAGGGAAAATCTCTGAATTCAAGCAAAGCACCTTCCCAAAAGAGGCAGGAGACGCAGCCCACCATCCTGGGATTTCCCCGAGTTTCAAACCTCAGGCTGATAACGCCGCAGGTGTGAGCGCGTGTCTCGGCGGCGTTGCCGACTCCTTCCTACCCTCAAAACGACGCTATAGAGCACTGCGCACAAGAACAACGAGACGCAAGGACAGTTTCCCCCCCCCCGAGCGCCATTACTCTGCTAAACAAATCACTCACCACTGTCAAACTATTCACTAAGGCTGCATTACTATTAGTCTTCTCATCGTTCCTATCGCCCATCACCTCCCAATCATGACTGCGGGACTGTAACTTTGTTGCTTGTATCCTTACGATTTATATTGACATTGGTCGTTTCCTGATTGCTTATTTGTACCCCATGACAATCATTAAGTGTTGTACCTTATGATTCTTGATGAATGTATCTTGTCTTTTTATGTACACTGAGAGCNCTGAAAGCCCTATGAAGTGGTATATAAGTCTAACTGCTATTGCTATTGCTATTCATGGTCGCCTTTCCATATCACCAGCTACACTTGAGATCAGTTCAACTCTGCAAGTTTCTTCTGCTTAAGGCTTTTGGAAGGTTACTCTGAATCTCCTAAGGGTGGAAAGAGTCAGCATGTACCCAAACAACAGATCAATGTGTGAGGGCTTCACGCAACTGGAAGGTTATCTGCATATCTCTGTCTCTCTGTCTCTCTGTCTGTCTGTCTGTCTGTCTCTCAATTTTTTTTAACTTTTATTAAAAGTTTTAGACAAAACTGCAGCTCTCAAGCTCTTACTTCCTTGAAAACTCTCAGTCCTACAGGATGTAAATGATTTTCTCTACCCTTGGAATAATTTTTCAGAATTTTTTTACTAGCTGGAACTGAACTAAGAAGTCCTTATGACAGAGATAAGAGATAAGAGACAGAGATTTGAAGACCCATGGACTCCAACTCCCAGAATTCCCCCAGCCAGCCATGCCGGCTGGCTGTGGGAATTCTGGGAGTTGAAGTCCACAAATCTTAAAGTGGCCAAGGTTGGACACTCCTGCCTTATACCTTTGGCAAACATGGGATAGAGACACTATCCATGTTCTGTCCTGAGATTAAAAGCAACTCAAAGTTTTCCATGGGTCTCCACCGTTAAAGACGCAAGGAAACCTAACCTTAGTGCAACATTAGGTAATTAGCACATATGTGCTAGTCATTCCCGACTCTAGGGAGCGGTGCTCATCTCCCTTTCAAAGCTGAAGAGCCAGTGCCGTCCGAAGACGTCTCCGTGGTCATGTGGCCGGCATGACTAAACACCGAAGGGGCACAGAACGCTGTTCCCTTCCCACCAAAGGTACTTCCTATTTTAATACTTGCATTTTTTAACATGCTTTCGAACTGCTAGGTTGGCAGAAGCTGGGACAATTAACAGGAGCTCACTCCATTATGTGGCACTAGGGATTCAAACCGCCGAATTGCCGACCTTTCTGATTGACAAGCTCAGCGTCTTAGATACTGAGCCACCACGTCCCTCTGGTGTAACATTACTCTACAGCAGAATAGACTCTTAATTTTGCGGGGGACAGACACCCCTGGAATATGGGTCCTTCTTACCTTGTCTTAATAGGTGCAACACGCAAGATGTCCATCCCACTGCCGGACCCTTTTAAGCTGAGCCAGGCCGAACGAATTCGCCTCTTCTTCTTCTCTTGATCTTTACGTTTCCCGGACTTTCCTTTTTTCTTCTTTCCGGGGGTCTTTAGAGGCTGCTCCTTGTAAGGTTCCTTGTGGGTCTCCTGGGTCAGGTTTTTGCCTTCATCATCGATGCCAACGCTGACAGTGCAGATTTTGCCCAGACCCACGCCGGGTTTCGGGTTGGATGATATCTCTGCTACACCTCGTATCTCAGCCGTGTTCACCCCATCGATGAGATTTTGCAGGAAGTTACGCCTTCGGGTGTCTTGCATGGACTTCCCTTTGTCGTGAAGGAGTTGGTATTCAGCGACGGTCCTTTTGCTGTTCAAAAAAGAGAAAAAAAAGAAGCAAATCCAGATATTAATGGACCTGAAAAGATGCCCATTCATTCATTCATTCATTCATTCATTCATTCATTCATTCATTCATTCATTCATTCATGATGGCCGCCACAATATTAAAAAAAAAGATGTTGAGACTCTAGTACAAAGAAGATGATTAGGGAACTGGAGACTAAAACATATTAAAAAGACAATCGCTGGAATTGGATAAAGGAAGGGGTGAAATCCAGTAGGTTCTGACAGGTTCTGGAGAACCAGTAGCGGAAATTCTGAGTAGTTAGGAGAACTGGCTAATGCCAACTCTGGCTGGCCCCAGAGTGGGGGGGGAGTGGAGATTTTGCATTATCCTTCCCCTGTCATGCCCACTAAGCCACACCCACCAAGCCACACCCACCAAGCCACACCCACCAAGCCACGCCCACCAAGCCACACCCATAGAACCAATAATTAAAAAATGACTTTCACTACTGGGTAAAGGTAAAGGTTCCCCTCACATATATGTGCTAGTCATTCCCAACTCTAGGGGGCGGTCTCATCTCCGTTTCAAAGCCAAAGAGCCAGCGCTCTCCGAAGACGTCTCCATGGTCATGTGGCCGGCATGACTCAATGCCGAAAGTGCACGGAACGCTGTTCCCTTCCCACCAAAGTTGCCCCTATTTTTCTACTTGCATTTTGTACGTGCTAGGTTGGCAGAAGCTGGGACAAATAACAGGAGCTCACTCCGTTAACCAGCGCTGGGGATTCGAACCGCTGAACTACTGACCTTCTGATCGACAAGCTCTGCATCTTAGCCACTGAGCCATCGCGTCCCTGCCGGAATTGGGTACATCTAGTTAAATGGAAAGGAGGACTAGGGGAGACATGATAGCAGTGTTCCAATATCTCAGGGGTTGCCACAAAGAAGAGGGAGTCAAGCTATTCTCCAAGGCACATGAGGGCAGGACAAGAATGGATGGAATGTAAACAAGGAGAGAAGCAACCTAGAACTAAGGAGAAATTTCCTGACACAACAATTAATCAGTGGAACAAATCGCCCCCCTAAAAGTTTTGAATGCTCCAACATTGGAAGTTTTTAAGAAGAGATTGGAGAACCATTTGTCTGAAGTGATGTATGCCTGAGAAGGGCATTGGAATAGAAAATCCTCAATGTCCCTTTAAACTGTATTATTCTGTTATTTGTCGAGCCTGTTCAAAAAACCCCAGTCTTCTCTTTGTACAGCGTAATTTAAGAGTCCCGCATATCCCACATTTTATCTGGAATCAATGCAACTTTCTAGCTGTTCCCTACAGTGGTAGAAAAGCGGAATTTGAAATAGTTTGCTAGTAAGCTGGTATATGACCCTTGACTGACATATTTTTCTTCAATGACCTTTTGAAGTTACAACAGCATTGGAAAAAAAAAAGACTCATGATTGATTGTGATTCAGACTTATGACCGTTCCGGCATCCCCATGGTTACATGATCCAAATTCAGGGGGTTGGCAACTGACTCATACTTGTGACGGTTGCAGTGTCCTGAAGTCATGGAATAATCTTTTGCAAGCAAAGTCACTGGGGAACCATGCTACTAGCTTAAGAACTGCGGTGATTCCCTGAACAACTGTTGACAAGGAAGGTCGTAAAGCGGGGCAAAGCATACTTAGCAACCGTCTCGCTTACCAACGGAACTTTTGGGCTCCGTTGTAGTTGTAAGTTGAGGACCACCTATAATTGCTAGGAGGGTGGGGGCCTTCAGCCTTCAGAGCAGTGTTTCTCAAATATGTGAATTACAATATGTGGATAGGGAATTCTGGGAGTTGAAGTCCACATGCCGTATTTTTCGGAGTATAAGACGCACCTTCCCCCCGCCTTCCCAAAAAAGAGGGTGAAAATCTGGGTGCGTCTTATACACTGAATACAGCATTTTTGGCCTTCTGAAGCCCCGCCCCGCGCATCCCGTTTTTCACAAAAATGGACGTGCAGAGGGTTTGGGAGGCCCGTAGAATGCTCCTGGCGGCTGGGGAGGGCAAAAATGAGCGAAAACGGGCCCATTTTTCACAACAACGTGTGTGTGTGTGTGTTTGCCCTCCCAAACCCCCAAGAGCACTCTGCAGGCCTTCCAAACTCTCTACACACCCAGCTTTTTGCTCATTTTTGTCCTCCCCAGCCCTCAAGAGCACTCTACAAGCCTCCCAAACTCTCTGCACGCCGCATTTTTTGTGAAAAGTGGGCCCATTTTTCACCTCCCCAACCCCCCCCGCATCACTTTTTTGCCCTCCCTGGCCCCAGGACCACTTTGCAGGCCTCCCAAACTCTCTGCATGTCCCGTTTTTCACCAAAAACGGCGCGTACAGAGGGTTTGGGAGGCCTGCAGAGTGCTCCTGGGGGCTAGAGAGGGCAAAAAACATTTCTTTTTAATTTGCCTCTTCAAAATCTTGGTGCATCTTATACTTCAACGTGTCTTATAGTCCAAAAAATACGGTACCTTAAAGTCGCCAAGATTGAAAAGCAGGGCTTGAAATCAGCTTGTTTAACCAAAAAGAATTTATGGGGATGATCTTGGACCAAGATGAGCTAAAACACAAGGCCACGGTCACATTGGTGTACCTGGCAACCTGGCTGTTTCTTAGGTCAACACTCTCCACTTGTCAAAACAACAACAACAACAACAAAACAACAACCCTAGCTTCTCCCCATTTTAAGCCTTTCAAAGAAGCCACCACAAATCTAGAACCGAACTTTCAAAGTTAGGTTCCACCACAAAACCGCGGACGACAAAATCGCGCTCGACGAAAGCGCGTACGTGACGTCATCACAGCGCGACAAAAACATCGCACTGTGATCGAAAAATGTAAAAATAAAGGGAAAACCTTACCCTAACCCCCCCAAACCTAACCCTAACCCTAACCCTAAACCTAACCCTTAACCTAACCCTAAACCTAACCCTAAACCTAACCCTTAACCTAANGGAGGAGGAGGAGGAGGAGGAGGAGGCCGGCTTGGGAAGCCAAGAAAAAAGCAGCCACCCCAGTGTTGCCCGCCCCCATGGGGCATTGGTAACTGTGGGGAGGGGGACCACCCACTCCCCTTGAGAGGGGGGGGGGAGAAGAGCCCAGGAGCGGGCTCTTTACTCGGCCCTGGCACTCACGCTGAGGACCCGGGCGGACTGGCTGAAGCGAGGCATTGGGGAGAGGCTAGCCGTCAGGGTTGGGTGTTCGAGGCGCACTCCCTGCACGCAGAAATCTAGCGCAGCGGCGGCGGGATGCCGAGCCTGATGGAGCCTCCCTAAAGCCAACGTTTGGGGGAGGGGAGGGGAGGGGAGGGTGGAAGAGGGCAGAGTCCTCGAAGGGGGCGGCAGAGTGGCTGCCAAGGTCCTGGCCAGATGTACCCTCCTCACCAGCAACTGGAGCAGCAGCTCCTAAATCCGCCCCCCAGCCTCGTCCTGCAGAAGCCGACCGCGCAGAATGACCGGGATATGAATGAGAAGCTACTTTGTGGCCGTCCATGAATTCGACTCCCACCAACCCTTACTCCTGCCTTCCTGGCAGGGGAACATGGAGCCCGCGTCCCAAAGCTCAGCAGATCGATTCTGGGGGAGGGGTCGGTCAGGGGGCCCGCCTCCAATATCCCGTCACCCCGTGCTGAGCCCTCCGGGGTCCCCTCTTGCCAGCGAAGAGTCCAAGCAAAGTGGGGGGGGAGAACCAGGGGTGAAATTCATCAGGTTCTGGACATTTTGCCGAAATTTTGAGTAGTTAGGAGAACCGGCAAATGCCACCTCTGGCTGGCCCCAGAGTGGCGAGGGAATGGGGATTTTGCAATAACCCCTGCCACGCCCACCAAGCCACACCCACAGAACCGGTAGTAAAAAAAATTGAATTTCACCACTGGGCAGAACCTCCCCCCCCCCGTCCTGTCATTCTTCCAAGGGTCTCCAAAAAAAGTATTGGGAGGGGAGCGGCAGGTGATATTTCCTCTACGCCCCCCTCCCCCGCCGCCAGCTCTGCTCGGCTGGAGACTGGCCAGTCCCTTCCCCTCCACCCGCCGGCCCAATTCTTCCACGAGGTCCCGTCTGGCTGGGCAAAAGCCGCCCAAGCGCTCCGCTGCCCTCCCGATCTGAAAAAAAAATCCCTATCAGGGTGTCAAGTCTAGGTCACGGCGCCCCCGGCAAACGAGGCCACGGCGAAGCACAGGCTGCCCTTCACGGGTGTCTGGGAACCTTGGAAGGGGGGGGGGGAGACTTCGACTCTGCGGAAGTGTCAGACAGGCCGTCGGGTTAGCGCAGCCTGCTTGGCCTTTCAGCCCGAGGATCGTTGAAAGGCCGGTTAGCCTAAAATGCGGGTGGGCATCCGTGCAGGCATGGGTGTATTGTGTGAACGCTGCTGAGTACAGCAGTTATCTGTCCCAAAGATGGTTTTTCCCCCCCAGGAGGCAACTGGTTTTTCTTTGAAGACGTTTCGCTTCTCATCCAAGAAGCTTCTTCAGCTCTGGCTGGATGGCGAGGGAATGGAAGGTGTCTACCATCCAGTCGGAGTTGAAGAAGCTTCTTGGATGAGAAGCGAAACGTCTTCAGGGGGAAAAAAAACAAAGAAAGTCCAGTTGCCTTCTGGGGGGAAAAAAAGCATCTCTGGGACAACCATGACCCCAGAGAATCCCCGCAGCCAGCTCTTCTTTGTATTCAGCCCTGCTGGTCGTGAGAACGCAGCTCTCCAGCCCCCACCCCCAAAGTAGCTCAACTTATCTCTCGGAGCGCGTTCAGACGTTGGCTGGCTTCTCTGCCTTAAGAACCTCGCACGTCCTTGCGCAACGTCCGGAGAACCTAGAGGCGGCGGACGGGGCTATCCTAGCTAGTCCGGAAAGCGATCTGCCCGACTTGCTGGTCGTGTGAACTCACCCTACAAGGCATCTCCTGCTCGTGGCCACCACGACAGCCATGGACCTGACCCATGTTATGTAGGTCCTGACAGACAAGAAGGAAGGGAGGGGGAAGGGAGTGGAAAAGAGGGTGGTTGAGGGAGGCAAGAAGAGGAGAGGAGGAGAGAGGGAAAGGAAGGAAGAAAGGAAGAAAAAAAGAAAGGAAGGAAGATAGAAAAAAAGAAGAAAGAGAGGAAGGGGATAGGAAAGAAAGGAGGAAGGGAAGAAGAAATGAAGGGAAGGAGGAAGGAAGGGAAGAATAAAAAGAGATAAGGAAAGGAAGAAGAGATGAAGGAATAGAGGGAGGGAAGGGAGTGGAAAAGCGGATGGTTGAGGGAGACAAGAAGAGGAGAGGAGGAGAGAGGGAAGGGAAGGAAGAGAAAGAAAGAAGAAAGAGAGGAAGGAGATAGGAAAGAAAGGAGGAAGGAAAGAGGGAAAGAGGATGGAAGGGAAGAATAAAAAGAGATGAGGAAAGGAAGAAGAGAGGAAGGAATGAAGGGAGGGGAGGAGTGCCTGGCAAGGAAGGACGCCGCCCTCCCTTTCGTCCAGCCGGGCCGCCCAAGATTGATGGGGCTCTTGGTTTTCCCGTTCGCAAAGGCGAGGGCACTTCGGGGCTGGGCTCATGGCCGCCCCCTAAAACGAATGGCATCGGCTCCCGCCTCAGCCCCCTCGCTGCGCCCCGCTCCATTCCTTCCTTCATCCTTCGCCCCGTGGGTACCACTTGGCGCTGGGGACGGAAAGTTTCCCGAAACGCGCAGACTGTTTCCAGTCTTCCCTTTTATTTGTTCCTTTCATATCCATTCACCAATACCCATTCTTATAAAGAACATTTATCTATTTGCGATTAACATGGACCACAATCTTCTTATGACTATAGAAAACACAGCTGTTTTCTATAGAACACGTAGTCATTTCTTGCCTTCCTCTTGTCTCGCAACAACTCTACACGTTCCATCTTCTCAACCTCCCTTCTCTGCCCCCTCCTCTCCTTCCTCTTTTCTTCTTCCCTTCCCCAACTCCTCTTCTCTTCTCCTTCTTCTTACCCGCGCTCCTACTCTTCCTTCCCCTCCCTTACCTCCTCTGCTTTACCCCTTTTTTTCTTCTTTTCCCTCCCAGCCTTCACCTTTTNCGGGTCCACTGGTGGAACCTCTTCTAACCGGTTCGGTAGATTTGACGAACTGGTTCTACCGAATAGGTGCGAACTAGTAGGAACCCACCTCTGCTCCATACGTTGTGAATGCCCCAACACTGGAAGTTTTAAAGAAAAGATTGGACAACTAATGTTGCTATTCTATTCTGTTCTATATGCTGAAAGAAGGATAGAAAGGAAGGAAAAACCATTGACAATCATCTTGTGGTAATTACATGTATGAATCCACCCTATTCCCTGTTCTCTTTTGCTTCTAAAGTAAATTTGCAAGCAATTGTTTTGTGCAATCAACTAAGAAGAAGTAGGAAAATTGCAGATTTTTCTTTTTTAACATCTATTAAGTAGAGAAGTCAATCCATCTCCTTTCCCCCTTTTTTCCATGACATTTGCATCTGTCTCCATTTGGCGAGTCCTGGGATACTCGTAAAAATAAGAAATATCCCATAAGCTTAAACTCACTCTCCCTCCCTCCCTCCCCCTCCCTCTCTCTCTCTCTCTCTCTCTTAATATGAGTTCAGTGGCGTTGTCCGATCATTTTAATGCACCTTAATGAATTCTGCCGTACATCTAAATATTCTCTAGAAATTCTCTGGAAAGTGGAAATGCAGAAATAGATTTCAAAAGCTACCACACATTCCACAGGTGAAATATTCTTCATACGCCCTTAATGAAAAAAACAGCATTTGAAACTCCTCTGTTACACCACACAATTCATAATTTAAGTCTGCCTTTTGCAACCTGGTGGCCTCTTGATATATTAAAATTATGTTCACACCCATCATCCTTTTCAAAAGAAGAAACATAATTCCAAGCATAGAAACAGAAGAAATAGTGAGCCCCCCCCCAAAAAAAAAATAAAAAAAAATAAAGCACCTTAAAATGGTACGGAAATTTAGCTCAATCTAATTTATATCAACATAGTTTACTATACTTCCTCATAATTTTCCACTCTTGTGAAACCTTCTTGCTTCCATCACCTTCATATAATACCTCGGGAACTGACTTTTTGCTCTTCAGAACTCTCTTCATCTTTTAAGAATCTTACAACTCTGCCCATAACTTTTTAAGTCTTCATCTTCCTCTCAACCCATTCACTTGTTCTTCAATGGTTAGTTAGGTCATGTGTGATCACTTTTTTTCAACCTTCTGACAAGGAAATTCAATGGGGAAACCAGATTTACTTAACAACATTTGTTACTAATTTAACAACGGCAGTGACTCACTTAACAAATGTGGCAGGAAAAGTGGCAAGTTGGGGCAAAATTCACCTAACACATTTCTCACTTAGCAACGTAAGATTTTGGGCTAAGTCGTGGCTGTAAGTTGAGGATCTGCTGTATAGGACTCCTGAGAGAGCAGGGGGTTGTACTAGATGACCTCCAAGGTCCTTTCGAACTCTAGTACTGTTACTGAAGATGGTTTCTTAAATTCAAGATCAGAGGTGATATTCAGCCAGTTCTGACAGGTCCTGGAGAACCGGTAGCAGACATTTTGAGTAGTTCGGAGAACCGGCAAATAGGCTGGCCCCGCCCTCACTGCTTCCTAGCCTCCCAGCTGATCTCCTTTTGTTGCCCTGAACAGGAGAACGGAGCTGGAAAGCAGGTTAGTGGAGTGGGGAGGGAATGGGGATTTTTCAGTATCCTTCCCTTGCCACGCCCACAAAGCCACACCACACCCACAAAGCCACGCCCACAGAACTGGTAGTAAAAAAAATTGAATCCCACCACTGCTCAAGATACGGTAAATGCAATGTGAAGATGGACAGAGTGCTGGAGAAATAAAGACACGGTTGATCCTAGAGAGGATTAGGACAAGAAGAAGGAATTGGGGGGGAGGGATGTCAAGACTTACACGCGAATTGGAATAAGGTGAGGGCGAAGTGCGCAGAGTCAGCCTCATTCTCTCTCCCCAGATTCCATCTTGCTCCAATAACAGGTCAAGAGTTGAGACAGTGGGAGATGGGCTGGGCACAGTGGTTGACCAGGGCGTCCTTTGTGTCTTGCTATGCTCTTAGCGTACCACAGAGACCGCCTTCACGACCGTTGACCTATTCTAGCAGGTTTCGTCCGCTCGATCCGCCGGAATCTGTCTCACATGCTCAGGATAGCCAAGTCCCTATCTCACCGAAGGTCAATGACCCAACGGCTACTCTCTACCTGGTTTGGCCAGCCTGACAAAGCTGTTGCCCGGGGTGTGGCAGCTGCGCATGCTACAGCTGCTAGGAGCCACAGGTGAGAGCTGAGGGGCAGGTGGGGAGCAAAGGTGGATGAGCTGGTCTAAAAGCTGCCCTAGAATGAGCTGCCCTAAAAGGACATGACGGGCCCCTGCACCAGAGGTGCTACCCCTCCCTGAACACACCGTACTTGGAATGGCTACGGCCATGATGGCGAACCTGTGGCACACATGCCACAGGTGGCATGGGGAGCCATTTCTGAGGGCATGTAAGGCTTTTCCCTGTCAGCTCAGTGCGCATTGGCCAGCTGATTTTCGGCCTTGATTTTTGGCCATTTTTCGCCCTTCACAACCACCCAACGCGCAAACTGGAAGTTTTGGAATGGACTTCCAGCTTGTGTGTTGGCTGTTTTTTTGCCCTCTGGAGGCTTCAGCGAAGCCTCCTGAAGCCTCCGGAGGGAGAAAAATGAACCTACTGGGCCCACGGGCCATTTCTGGCCTCCGGAGGAACTCCGGGCGGGTGGGGAGTCCATTGTCGCTCTCCCCAGGCTCCAAGAAAGCCATGCGCGCATGCATGGGACAGTGGGGGGGGGGTCATGCATGCATGCATAGGGGCACAGCACAGGGGGTATTAAATTATGGGGGTGGGCACTCAAGCACACATGATAGCTCATGCATCTGTGCTTTTGGCACCCGAGGCAGGGGTGTGTGTCATGCATGCATGCATAGGGGCACAGCATGGGGGACATTAAATTATGGGGGTGGGCATTCAAGCACACACAATAGTGCACACATCTGTGCTTTTGGCACCCGAGGCGAAAAAGGTTCGCCATCACTGGGCTAAAGCAATAAATTTTCCAGTGGTAATATACAGCTCTGAAAGCCAGTCACTGAGAAAGAGAGAGAGAGAGAGAAGTAAAGGAGATAAATGTCCTTGAGTTATGAAAGTGCAGATGGTTTACAAAGAGTGTTGTGGCCTTCAAAAGGAACCAATCAATGGGCCCTGGATAAAATAAAAGTCGGTCTCCCTTCAGGTGATGACAAGCAAGCAAAAACACACATATTTTCAGTATCTGAGGTCTATTGCTTATGAACTGAATAATAATATAAAAAGACTGGTTATGCCTGAAAGAGCTGGTGGAAGTGGAAAACTGAGGCAGATGGACAGGATTCATAAAATATGTGTCGTTGCAAGCTGTTGCAAGCTGGAAGGCTTTGGCAGCTCCACACATTTATCTCAAGATAAACGTGGTTAGATCTCCCGAAGCTTTACAACTTGCAAAGAGTGCGGTGTTTTCACGATGCAGCCTCTCTCTCTTTTATTCAGGCACCAGGGGTGGTATTCACTTACCTTCCCCAAAGGTAAAGGTTCCCCTTGCACATATATGGTAGCCATTCCTGACTCTAGGGGGCAGTGCTCATCTCCGTTTCAAAGCCGGAGAGCCAGCGCTGTCCGAAGACGTCTCCGTGGTCATGTTTCCAGGATGACTAAACACCGAAGGCGCACGGAACGCTGTTACCTTCCCACCAAAGGTGGTTCCTAGTTTTCTACTTGCAATGTTTACATGTTTTCGAACTGTTAGGTTGGCCGAAGCTGGAACAAGTAACAGGAGCTCACTCCATTATGCAGCGCTAGGGATTCAAACTGCTGAACTGCCGACCGTGCTGCTCTTTACTGTAACTTTGGGGGTGGGGGGGGTGTTCCACGCAGTTTCTGCAATGGAGATTGTTTTGCGCATGCGCAGAACCAAAAATCAAGATGGCGCCGTCGACAATAGAACCAGTTTGGGTGCGCGGGCGGCCAAGTTACTACCTATTAAGCCGAACCAGTCCAAACCAGTAGGAGCCCACCTCTGCTCAGGCCTTAATGGTCCATTGACAAAGGTGTGTTTAAGGGGGGAGTTAGGGAGCTGCAGAGAGCTGCTTTGTCTTAAAAACACGTTTCTCCTTTTCTCATCCAGGGAAATATAATATTCTGCCTTTTGAATATTTCCTAAAATATTTCATTTTTCTAGGAAAAGGAGGGGTGGGTGCTAACTTCCTACAATATCTTTACATTTCCCTTCCTAATGAAATCAAGTCTGGGATATATTCTCTCTACAAATGTTTCTATCCCATTATAATCTCATCCCTGTTAGGTTTCTGTGCATTCTTTCCATTTTCTTGGTTGCGATCACTTCCCATTGTTGGCAGAAATCTCCTTCTGGGTTCGGCTCCAAGAGGGGGAAAAGACACTGGAAAACAGGAGGCTGCTTGGGAAGATGGTTTAATGGTGGATAGGATCGCATGGCTTGAGCTCCTGAACAGAAAACGGGGGATCACATCAGTGGTGGGTTTCAAAAAAAATTCGAACCTATTCTGTGGGTGTGGCCTCCTTTATGGGAGTGGCTTGCCAGCCATGTGACCTGGTGGGAATGGCTTGCCGGCCATGTGTTCTCTTTCTC